CGGGGCGCAGCGCGCAGGCGCGGGGCGGTCCGCCATGGCGGCCGAGCCAGAGGCCTTCCTGGTACCGCCGCCTCCTTCTTCATCTTCCACCACTGGCGGCGTCCGGGAGGAGGAAGAAGCTTCCCCCGCCGCCGAGGCTCCGCGGCCACGTAACGGTTTTCGGTCGGCGGGAGGAGGGAAACGTCGTAGCAGCTGCGGGGCCAAGCAACCGGCGTGGAAACGGCGTCGCCGGGCGGCCTCGGAGTGCGGCCCGGTGCTTCCCTCCGAGTTCCTGCTGGGTGGAAACATCTTCGACCCCTTAAACCTCAACAGTCTGCTGGACGAGGAGGTGAGCCGGGCCCTCAACGCCCGCACCCCGCAATCCTCCCCCCTTCCCGCCCGCGGCCGCGACCCTGTCGAGATCCTGGTCCCTCGCGACATCACCGACCCCCTCAGCCTCAACGCCCCAGGTGAGGGGCTGCGTTTAGCTTCCCCCGCCAAAACCGCTCGTCGCCGCCACCGTCACCGCGGCCAGCAGCGAGCCGCCGCCGCCGTCACCGCTACCGCCACTGATGAGGCTGCCTGCCCTCATGTCCTCCCTGCCGCCACCACCGCCGCCACCCCGCCGCCATGTGCCACCGCCTGCCCCGCCACCGGCCGCCATCGGAAACGTCGACGGACTTGCAGTAAATCGGAAGGAACCCGTCCCCCTCCGGAAAAACCCAAACCCCCCGGAAAAGTTTCCCAGCAGCAACGTCAACGTCGCCAAGTTCAGAAATTCCAATACGGCAATTACTGCAAATATTATGGTTACCGGAACCCCGACTGCGAGGACGGGCGGCTGCGAGCCATGCGCCCCGAGTGGTTTGCGGGGAAGGAGGTGTTGGACGTGGGGTGCAACGTGGGACATCTCACCCTCAGCATCGCCAAACGTTGGGGACCCGCCCGGGTGGTGGGGTTGGACATTGATGGGGGGTTGATCCGTTCGGCCCGGCAGAATATCCGGCATTATCTGTCGGAGGAGATTCAAGCGGAAGCGGCTGGAGTAGGAGGGGGGAACAGCGGAGGGGGGGCACGGAAGGGTTTTCCCGCTGCTCTCCTGGCCAGTCGGGGTCCCATCGCCGCCCCCCGCCTGCCCCCCGACGGGCCCGGGGCCGCCGATTTCCCTCACAATGTCGTCTTCGTCACGGTGAGTGTG